CCGCGCGGGTAATGGCGCCCATTTTGGGGATTGGGGCCCGTACGTGCATGGAGATTAAGTTCTCAAACTATCAGCCCTGCAGCTTTTATAGGTCTTGGGATGAAAAATCGGGACAGACGCACACACAGACACACAGAAAACTCCTCGTCAATATGCGTTTTTGCATTGCATAGCTGCAAAAAACGCATAAAAATTATCTCGTCCGGGACAAGCTTTACATTTTGACGATATCTCACACACATATATGGTGGTATGTTTTATGCGTAATTTTGCCTTTCTGCAACCGCCAGGGCTCTGTTCTTCCGGTTATTTTCCATCCACGCACATTAGCGGATCTAAGTAACTACTACCCAATCTCCTAGAGCGAGGGGCCCCAGAAGCTTGGGTAGTAGTTTTATTTTTAAAATTATTCAACAAAACAGCTTGTTTGCCAAAAAATAAACAAAAGATAAGGCGAATTTCAACTTTTCTTCTTTTTGCTATTTTCTTGCCAAAAAAAGACCGGGCTAAATCTCAGCTCCGCATCCTGTAGTTAGAGACCGGAGACGGCAGAGAAATCTACTCTCCAACCCCAAAAGAGCAAACCCATCCGGAGTCAGCGGCAACATTTGTAGAAATGCGGGCCAGGTGGGTCCACTGTTGACCCGCGAAACAAGGCGCGACAAGTGTCCTGTGTGGTGCACGTCGCGTATTTTGTGTGCGTGGCGTGACTTTTAGGAGGACCTCCGCAAGGCTTGAGGAATCTCGAGATGCACTTCGAGAATTCGGAAGCAGCAGCTGAGGGTATTCCGACAAATTTTGAAGCTTGGCAATCTGCCAAAGGCTGAGCAGATATAGTGCTGCAGGGTTGAAGAGTGGAAGCAATTCAAAAAGTTTTAATCTTGGTGGCCTACAACATCAAACACTTCACACGCATGCGATAAGAAAGGAAGTAGTATCATCTTGTGCTTGTTTGACAAAACAGGATATTTTGTTCAACAATTTGATTTCTAGTGGTCGACTGATACAGATAACCAAAGCTCTCCAGGCCTGTAGCTTCCGACACCAGTAGGCTCGATAACATTAATGTTGTAACTGTCAGCAGTCATTTTTTTAAGGCTTCTGTATTTAGCATTTGTATGTGTGTGTGTGTGTGTTTATGTTTACTTGTGTGTCTGTCTGTCTGTCCGGTATTTCAGCCTTAGTAAAGTTAAGTCCTGAATTTTTGCCGTCGTTGTTTCCCCTGGCCTGATAGGAAAGCAGAAATGTGATAACAACTTTCACGGGTGCCTTCTTCCTATGTACGGAAATGTGAAGGTTTTGGTTGGAAAGTTGCTAATCCGGGAATTGGAAAAGTTGGAGAGATGAGTTTTGGAATAATGTTCTCTGTCCGTGTTCAGTTTCGAATTATCCAGAGATTTCAAATTCAGTTTCGAATTAAATCTTGGTTCCACGTACGGGACGTGGAAGTTTTTTTGAGAAAACTGCTAACACGGAAGCTAGAAAGGCCAGGGAGCTGGAATTTTGGGAGGTTGTTTCTTGTCCGACCTACAAAATCTAAATTCAGGTTTAATATATGCCTTCTTGCATACGAACATGTAGAAGTTCTAGCGGGAAAATCTGCTAACTCGCGGATCAGAGCAGTTAAGAAGCTGAAATTTTGGAAGAATGTTAAGTGCTTTTGTGCCTCATGGAAAATTTCTGTTTTGGTTTTTGAACACTTTGAAGTCCCACGTAAGAATACGTGAATTTCGCAGCAAGAAATTTTCCTGCCCCGGGGCCCAACAAGTCAGGTAGTCAAGATTTCAGGAGTATCCCTTGCTCATGTGCCACTTCGAAAATTTTAAATTCAGCTTTCACGCGCGCCTAGGTCTCACGTACGAACACATGAAGGTTTTGGCGGACCAGAAAATTCCGACGATTTTTGTGCATGTCTTGCATTTATATTTATCCATTCACTAAACATTGCATATATATATATATATATATATTTTTTTTTTGATACACACATCAAGCAGTAAAGCAGTGGATATTTTTAACAACAAGCACCCGCTAAAGGGGATGCTTAAAACGCATCATTGCACTAGCTTCCGTGTTGTGTGTGGCTATTTGTTGGAATTAGCGACATTTTGCAGTACACCAAGCATGCCTGCTGTCGTGGCAATGCTCTTATAATCGATTGATAATTTTTTTGCTTTAACTTTAAAAATGAAAATGGACGGAAGATATAGCAATTGAATCACATAAACAGTATCTATCCTTTAATCTCATTGGACTTCAAGCATTTGCTTCACTCCGCTTTTCCTCTA